CCAGGATCCCTTCTGGGATGTTGGGGATCCAGTTTTGGCCCAATCCCTGCAGACCCAGACAAGGGGTCCCACTTGCTGGAGGGACCTTGTTCACTCCTCAGACACCCTTCTATTATAGCTCCAGTGCAGCCCCAGTTGTGGCAGCCAGGGAGGGACCACGGAAGGTTGGCTTCAGGGTGTCTGGCCTGACTCATCCAGTCCTGTCCCATTGGCCGCCTTCTAATTAATTTCTTTCAATGTGCACAAATCTGTGCACCAGGTCACTAGTAGTATTATAAAAAGCATTCAATTTCACTATTAAGCTCATAAGCAGATGAGTGAATAAAAAAAACTGTGGTACATCTATGCAATGGAACTCTATACTGCTGAAAAAAAGAAGGAATTCTTACCATTTTCAGCAGCATGGATGGACCTAGAAAGCATTATGCTAAGTGAAATAAGCTAGTTGGAAAAAGATAAATATCACATGATCATTTCATTCATTTGTGGAATATAATGAAGAACATAAGCTGGTGAAAATATATAGATATAGAAGCATTGAACAGACAGTCCAATCTCAGAGGAAAGGTGGGTGGGATGAGGGAGAGAGAAAAACCAAAGGACTTGTCTGCATGCATATAAGCATAACCCATGGACACAGACAGTATCAGGGTGAGGGCATGTACTGGGGTGTGGGAATAGGCAGGGAGAGGTCAATGGGGGAAAAACGATATATATGTAATAGTTTAAACAATAAAAAATTTTAAAAAGAAGTATAAATTATAACAGTAAGATATTTTATACCTATCATACTTACAAAGATTTAAGAATTAGACCAAATTTCTCACCACAAAAAGGAAATTGCAACTATTTGAATAATACATGTTTAACTAACTTGATGTGGCAATCATTTTGCAATGTATGCATATATAAAATCACTACGTTGTACACTCTAATGTTATATGTCAATATCTAAATAAAACTGGGGGAAAACAATTCACTTTCATTGTATATTATTATTAGAATAGAAAATATATTTTTCATTCAAATTTTGAATATTATTTACATATTCTACATATCTTCTCTAATATTTGGTGAAAAGTATAAGGAGAAAACAAAAAAGTTAGAGTTTATACAAACCAAATTTGACTACATATTTTTTGAAACTGCATGTTTGTAATAAAACTTAATCTTCAAAAATAATTTAGGAGGGAGCATAGGTAAATGCAATACTCCCATCCTCTCACAGCCACATCAAAATTACAACTAAACTACAGAAGGGTCATCATTCAGAAACACCTAAAATTTAGCTAAACAGAAGTCCTACAACTAAGGATATATCAAGCTTAGTAGGAGAGACAGAGACACAGAGCTGGCTGGTCCCACCTCTACATGTGACAGTTAAAAATTGGGAGGAATATCTTGAGTGAAGGGTCCAATCCCCATACCAGGTCATCCAGACCACAGATCCAATGCCAGAAAGAGAAGTTCCCCATAACTTCTAGCTGTAAAAACCATTGGGGATTGAGCCTGAGTGAGATGGAGGCTGCTGGAGTCCTAGCCAGTTTCTGTTATAGGGTCCTCAAAGGAACTTACTTGGATCACTCCCTCTGAGCTTCAGCACTAGATAGCAGCTTGAGAGGTACCAGGGGCATACAGAGAGGAACTGATTTTTCTGACATTGCGGCTAGAGCTGGAGAGGCAGCTTTCTCTCTGACAGAAATGATGGCAGAGCTAGCAGGCAGGTGCCATATCTGAGTCTCCATCAACCTGGCTCACTGTTAGCCTAACCCTGGTGATTCTCTAAGACCCCTCCCCATCTAGCTTGTGGGCCCATCCATGCTGTTTCCATACAGATGGCCTATCTTGACTCATGCTTTAGACTTTCTTAAGGTTTCTTAAACAAGCAGTATCTAGTCTCGGCATGTCCCTGGAACTAGAAGCAGATGGCCTTGGTTCATAGCTTGGCCTCTCCTGGGCACCTCCAATCCCAGCACCAGTCATAGTCATCTGCAGATCACTTTGTAACTCATACCAGGTGGCTCCCAAGAAGAAAACAGGCAGCAGCTGACCTTGGCCTCCACCTTAGTTTAGGACTTCTGTTCACCTCCTGAAAGATCCCAGAGCCATTGCACTCAGTGGACAGCTTCAGATCCTGTCAAAGCACCACCCCAAGCAACACACTCAAGAGGCAGACTCAGTAGGCACAAGAGCCCCATTAAAATAAATCTACTCCATGGTGTGAGCCCCTGCACCGCTGATTCTCCACAATTGTCACTACCTTGAAGCTACAAGTAGGCCAATAAAGTAGTATGGTGCCATAATTGGGATGATTCCATTTTGTTGGGATGGTCCACCTAATCACTGGTGTTCAGGTTTGTTTGTTTTTTTTGGTTCCCCTCTGGAGATCTCCAGAGTCCTAGTGTCTTCCTTGAGCTGTGACAAGCAGAACTATCCCATTCCTGGGCAGACACCTACCAGGTGGGCCTTTGGCCTTGTGCTCATGGACTCAGTAGGACTGAAGCAGAAGGAGAGTTCCACGAATGGCCCAGGTTAATGCCCAGTGCCATGTGCTCAGAGTCAGGAACCACATGCAGTTGTGGAAAATATAGTTTAAACTTCTATACACATGGACCTGTCATGGATCAATAAGCTCATGTCAGCACCTCATCCAATTTCTAGCTTAGATGCCCCCTTGCTACTTTTTTGGCTCAGTATGGAAATCTTCTTACAGCCAGGAACACTACCTTACTCAGCCTGAGGATGCAAGAGAAATGATGTGGGTTCTGGGTACCTCCACTGACACAGCACATCTATGATTGCCTACTATGTGCGAGGTTCCTTGTTAGGCACTGGGGTGTAGCCTTGGATGAGATACTTTTTTTTCCCTGTGTGCTTTTGTACTCCAAAATGTAGAGACACCAATCACATACCCAAGAAAGCAATACCAAGTTAGGAACTCACATAAGGAAAATTTCTGAACAGTTTTATTACCAACCTTGGTGTGTGTGTGTGTGTGTGTGTGTGTGTGTGTGTGTGTGTGTGTGTGTGTATGGGAGGGTCTACAAAGGAAGGGCCCATTCAACCTTATCCTTTGTTTCCTGTATCTTCATTCCAAGTCCTCTTATCCATCACAAGCTATTTTCCCAATTTTATAAAATTGCATTTGAAAAATGGCTTTTTGTGTAAAAATGTGTCAAAGTTGTGTGTTACTTCTTGACTTATAAAATAATGAGACTGGATTTGATGATGAATACAAACCTTCGTTTCTAAAATCTACTTCAATGAAAAGCCCTAAATAAGGAAGTCATGCCTCACTCACATTCTTATTTCCTCATCAAAGAACTTAGGTTGATGAGTAATCCCAATGGTCTGCTGTCTCTGAACTTCTGGCACATAGTTACCTGTGTGACCCTTTAGGATTTGGCATATACTATGTTGTATTAAACATTAATCTGTAGAGTGTGAACTCCCAGAGGGGTCTGACTCCTTTTCATCCTTGGTGCCTGCCAGTCTGTGGTGTAGTCAATGGTTGCTCACAGTGGCTGGTTTTTAGTTTTTAAAACTCAGCAGCTTTAAAAAGTCAGTAACACAAAAGATAGACAGACATCCATGCCTCATGCCTGAGATTTCAGATGCAGTAGGTCTATGCTGGGGCTCAGGAATCATAATTTTAGGACATTTCCTGGGTGATTCTGATGATCAGCCACATTTGAGAACAAGAAATCTAAACCAATTTGAAACTCTGTGTGTGTGTGTGTGTGTGTGTACAGGTCCCTCAAGGAGACCGTAATGCATAACTGCTTGCCTTTTCTCCTTCTTCCTGTTGAGTGCCAGGTTTGATCTTTAATCTCAGAGATCTCATTACAGTGAGAGCAAAATCAAAAGATGTGGAACTCCTCGAGTCTTCAGTGGTCATCCCCCAGTGGCCAGCACTCAGGGGTGATTGGTAGTTGCTTTGTTAAAGGCTATGAGAAGTGGCAGGTGCAGAGGTGGGACTGTGCCTATGAGCGTGGCAGGTGCAGAGGTGGGACTTGCTGACTTGTAACTCCCCCTGAGGTCCTCACTGTGGACAATCCCATAGGCCTCTTGATTTCATCCTTAAAACTGACATTTCTTAACCATCTTTTTACAGATGGGGAAACTGAGACTTAGAAAGTAATTTTCACAGGATTCTATGCAATATATAATGGAGTTGAGGTTTGAACTTAAATCAACACAATGGATTTAACTTTATATTAGTGCCTGACCCATAAAACTAAAGTTTTAGTGTCATAATATAATACATAGAATTAATAATATTGATTATCTTAACCCTGAACTATTGGTTGACAAGTTATTACCAAAAATTAACATTTAAAACATATTTTTTGTTTGATCAAAGGAAGAATTTGTAGAAAGGTGAAAAGAGGTATAATTCATTCAACCTTCTGCCCCTCCTTCACCTTCTTTATTATATTACCACTGAATTAGGATTTCAATTTAATATCCACAAAGAAATGCTTACAAATAATGACAGCCACAAAAGACTAGTTATAAGTAAGTCAAAAGAAACCAAATAAAATTATTTATGATACATCAGGCACTCTTTCCCCCCATAAACCTGGAAAATAAAAATTGCTCTTATTTTCTCATTTTTAATGTGCTTCCTTCCTTTGAATTATCTTAAACTTCCAAAAATGTAAACACCATATGCAAGAAAGTAACAGTGTGGTGGTACATGTGATTTTATACATTTTTGACTTCTATAGAAAAATTTTGTGCATTTACTTTTAATCTGCTCATCAATTCCAAAAGGGAAGTCAATTTGAAAGATTTATAAATACAACTTAGGTAGGCAACTTGTTTCTATTTGAAACTAACATAAAGCTCCAAGGTGAGCTAGGCTGGTTAGAAAGGAGAAGGAATAACTAAGCTTGGACAGTGTAAAAGCAGATGGAAACTCACAATCCCAAAGAGAGAAGATTAAGTTTAATGTGTCTTTCCATGTGTCATAGAATAATGAAGGTCATCATAGTGGTTTAAACTCTTCTATATCCCTATAAGACAGAAAAAGCTAATTATATTATTGTTGTTGTTATTATTAGTATTATTATTGTTGTTATTTTGCTTGCTTTCCCTTTCTTTTCCCCCCTCTCCATCATCCCTCTTCTACAGATTACTTCTGCCACTTACTGGTTACCTATACCAATTCTCAATGCTTTCTCCTATATAAATATGTCTCTCATCTGGATTATAAAATACAGGTTTTGCATTGGTGTGTTCTGTTCTTTTCCTGGAGCCTATGCCATATATTACATGGCAACTTTAACCCTCTCTGTAGCTCTAGTTAGGAATGGGGAGAACATTTCAGGCCAGACTGTGATGCGCTATTGTGACACATGCCCACTTCTTGGGGACTTTCACATGATGTCACTGCACATGTGAATGTGCACACCCAGGCCTTTGTCTCCAGGATTATGGTCAAATGAGCGTGAAGCTAAAAATTTGCATCAACTTGAGCCTGGAAATGTTAACATGCACAGAGAACAGAGTTTCTGGGTTCCAGTAACACAATGTCACTGTTCCCTGGGTTGACAGAGGGGGCTGCCAGACAGTGGCTGTGGCTTTCTGTAGCTGCAGCACTCTTCACTGTGTCATTCCACTAGTGCTGGAGGCTATCCTTGGCTTCCCATCCTGAGGAGTAAAGACAGACCTCAACTTACCCCGCAGCAGTCTCCAAACAGGGTCCCCAGGAGGCCATTAACCACCTGGATGGTGCAGAGAAGCATCTGGAGCACTGCTATGATGAGCAGGACGGAGAAGAGGATCAGATTCCAGGGCACCACATTTTTGGGCTCCTGGCACTTGCTCCATAAGGCTTCGTCATTGAGGTAATCCCTGTCAGGGCATGGGAAAGAAAGAAAACAATTGTAAAATGTAGGCAATACCTAGACTAGAAAGTCACACTAATAATTTTTCTTTTAAAATATTTTTATCTAAAGCATAATCTCATAAGAAATATATCACATAATACACATATTTTTAACAATACTTAACATTATACTATATACTATATACTATATACTATATACTATATACTATATACTATATACTATATACTATATACTATATACTATATACTATATACTATATACTATATACTATATACTATATACTACCGTGTTTCCCCGAAAATAAGACCTAGCGCATGGAAAGATAAGACATCCCCTGAAAATAAGACCTAGCGCAACTTTGGGAGAAAAAATTAATATAAGACACTGTCTTATTTTGGGGGAAACAGGGTATATACTATATACTATATACTATATACTATATACTATATATTACATACTATATACTATATACTATGTGTTAAACACTGTTCCAAATATTTTACATTTTAACTATTTTATTTCTTATAGAAGCCTTAGGCTTCTTTTATTCTATTTCACAAATAAAGGCATTGAGGCACAGAGAGGTTAAGTGAGTTTCCATTGGTCACAGAGCTAAGTGACAGATTCAGTATTGATCGGGGAGCCAGGAAAATGAAGACACTCCAGGAACAGAATCTCACCACCTGGGCTTGGTCTTACCTACTGTGATTTGGGACCACTTGGACATTTGACATAATTCAGCCACAATTCTGCCATGTCTAAGTGGCCGTTTGAAGCCATGTAAAGTATAATCGTGTCGCTTAGCTAAAGGGGAGAGCTTGTCTTTTTTAAAGGCCGAGTTCTAATCAAATTGTGAATTTGACTCAAGTATACGGCAGTCCTCAGGTTACGTTGGACTCGACTTATGTTGTTTCATGGTTATGTAGCCATCTCTCATTTATAGTATTTATTTTTTTAAAAGTTCCGTCATTTTGACGTTTGTACATATGTGCTTTATGGGTTTTTTTAAATTATTATTTATTTACCACTAGTAAAGGTCAGGAATTGTTATCTTTCTTTAAAAATTTTTTACTGTTTCACTTCATTACTGCTGTGTATGTGCTCCATGTGAGTGACATAGGTGCTTATATAGGTGGGTTCCGATTAATGCAAAAATCGAGTTATGTCACACCATAGGAATGGATCTCTGATGTAACCTATATTGTTGAGGAGTTTGTTATTAGTATCGTTCACATAACACAATAAATAGAAAAACCTGTTTAGTGCTGTGCTGATGCTGTTGTTAGAAACAACAAGAAAAGGGTCCTTGGAAGAAGACAATCTGTTGTTCTCAGCCACACCCCCATGTGGGAGAGAGGGAGCCATCAGGGGAAGAACCTCAGGGGATGGCTCAGCCTTCTGAAATCTGAATGCTATGCTCAGGCAAGACAGCTGAATGGCCAAGGGCCCCAAACTCCTCAACAAATTTGAGTCACCAAACTCCTCAACAAATTTCTGGAAAATCAAATCCAGCATTACATTAGAAAGATCATACATCATCAGCAAGTGGGAATTATTCTGGGGATGCAAGATGGTACAATATCTGCAAATCAATAAATGTGATACACCACATAAACAAACTGAGAGATAAAAATCATATAATCATATCCATTGATGCAGAAAACACATTTGATAAAATCCAATACCCTTCCTTGATAAAATCTCTCAGCAAAGTGGGAATAGAAGGATCATACCTCAACATAATAAAAGTCATATATGACAAACTTACAGCCAACATCATACTCAATGGGTAAAAATTAAAACCATTTCCCCTAAGAACAAGGCCAAGACAGGCATGCCCACATTCACCACTCCTGTTCAACATAGTACTGGAAGTGCTTGCCATAGCGATCAGACAAGAAGAAAAAATAAATGGCATCCAATTTGAAAAAGAAGAAGTAAAACTGTCCTTATTCACAGATGATATGAAAGAAAACCCCAAAGACTCCATCAAAAAACTACTTAACTTGATAAATAAATTCGACAATGTACAGGATACAAAATTAATACCCAGAAGTCTATAACTTGTCTATACACCAATAATAACTCACAGAAAGAGAAATTTAAAAAGCAATCTCATTTACCATTGCAACAAAAAAACTAAGATATATAGTAATAAACTTATCCAAAGAGATAAAGGACATGTTCTCAGAAAATTTCAGAACACTGATAAAAGAGAGAGAGGAAGGCACGAACAAATGGAAGAATATACCATGTTTATGGATTGGTAGAATCAGTATAATTAAAATGTCCATACTACTCAAAACAATTTATAGACCTAATGCAGTCCCCATTAAAATACCAATGGCGTGCTTCAAAGACACAGAACAAATTCTCCAAAAATTCATCTGGAATAAAAAAAGACCCAGAATAGCTGCAACAATCTTGAGAAAGAAGAACAATGTTGGAGGGATCACAATACCAAATGTCAAGCTATACTACAAAGCCATTGTTCTCAAAACTGCCTGGAACTGGCACAAGAACAGACATATAGACTAGTGGAACAGAACAGAGAACCCAGAAATCAACACAAGCAATTATGCTCAATTAATATTTAACAAAGGAGGAAAAAACATACAGTGGAGTCAAGACAGTCACTTCAATAAATAATGTTGGGAAAACTGGACAGATACTTGAAAAAAAAATGAAACTAGATCACCAACTTTTACCATACAGAAAAATAAATTCAAAAAGGATAAAGGACTTAAATGTAAGATGGGAAACCATAAAAATCTTAGAAGATTTTGAAGCCATAAGCAGCAAAATAGCAGACATTTGTCGTAGCAATATCTTTACCAATAAAGCTCCTAAGGCAATGGAAACTAAGGAGAAAATAAATAAATGGAACTACATCAAAATAAAAAGCTTCTGCACAGCAAAAGAAATCATCAACAAAACAACAGGAAAGCCCACTGCATGGGAGAATGTATTTGCCAATGTTATCTCTGATAAGGGTTTAATGTCCAACATTTACAAGGAACTCATACAACTTAACTAAAGGAAGATAAACAATCCAATAAAAAAATTGTCAAAGGACCCAAATAGACACTTTTCTAAGGATATTCAGAAAGCCAAGAGACATATGAAAACATGCTCAAAGACATTAATTATCTGAGAGATACAAATCAAAACAACAATGAGGTACCACCTCACACCTGTCAGAATGGATATCATCAACAAATCAACAAATGGCAAGTGCTGGAGAGGATGCAGAAAAAAAGGAACCTTCCTTCACTGCTGGTGGGAATGCAGACTAGTGCAGCCACTGTGGAAAACAGTATGGCATTTCCTCAAAAATTTAAAAATGGAACTGCCATTTAACTCAGTAATATCACTTATAGAAATATATCCCAAGAAAACATTGGGATATGTTTCCTTGGGATATATCACCCCTATATATCCAAACAGAAACACCAACCAGAAAGGATATATGCACCTCTATGTTTATAGCAGCACAATTTACAATAGTCCAGATTTGGAAATAGCCTAAATGTCCATCAGCAGATGAATGAATTAGAAAACTATGGTACACAATAGAATACTACTACCCTGTTATAAAAAAGAAGGAATTCTTACCATTTGCAACAGCATGAATGGAACTGGAGAGCATTATGCTAAATGAAATAAGCCAGTTAGTGAAAAAAAAATACCACATTATCTCATTTATGGATAAACTGATGAACAAAAATAGATACAGAGGCAGAGAAGCATCAAACAGACTGTCAAACTACAGCAGGAAGGTGGGGGAAGGTTGGGGGGGAGTAAGAGATTAATCAAAGGACTTGTATGCATGCATATAAGCATAACCAATGGATGCAAGACATTGGGGCGAGGTGAGGGCATGTGCCTGGGGTAGGGGAGGACAGGGGAAGGTCAATGGGGGGAGGGGAGGGGAGGAAACATATGTACTACTATTTGCAATACTTTAAACAACAAAATAAAATTTAAAAAGAATTATAAAGTCTTGTAACCATATTACAGAATATGGAAAGATAAAAAGTCATTAAAATGCTATGAAATATAATACAAAAAAAGAAAAAAATATATCGATGAGAGAAAAACATCATTGATCAGATGTCTGCTTCATGCCCTTTCTGGGAATAGAGCCTGCAACCTGGGCATGTACTCTGACCCAAAATCAAAACCAGTGACTTCTTGGTTCATGGATTGATGCTTAGCCTCTGAGCCATACAGGTTGGGCAGTACATAATCTGATAGATCCAATGGAAAACTGGTTGCAGAATTTTCAGATGCTATACAACAACCAAAACAATTGGCAATTATAAAAACCCCAGGGCATTCTAAAACCACCACCATGGAAGCAAAAGGAAATCATTTTGCTGATGCTGCAGCTAAGCATGCAGCACTGAACAGTCTAGTCAGTCTATACAGACTCAAGAATGTTCTTTACTTCCTATTAAATCAATAAAAGATTATCTTTTAAAGTTTCAACACACAGCCAAGGAAGATGAAAAGAGAATAAGGCAACAAAATGGGGGAACTTTTGACCTAGACAGACAGATATGGCTTGGACCCAATCAGAAACCTATTTTACCTGTAGGGGCCCAGATACCTGTACTGCAGCATGTACATGAACTAACACATTGGGGTCCTGAAAAGATGATTTCATGGAGTAAACAATATTACTGGAAACCCTTCTCCTACAGTAGCTCATAAAGTGTACATCAAATGCTCTATCTGTCCAAAATATAATCCAGGAAAACCACTCCATGGATCCCAAGAACATTTCCCGCTTCCTTTGGGCCCCTTTGAAATATGGCAATTGGATTTTATCCAAATGCCATCATTTCAAGGTTACAAATATATATTGGTCATTTTTTGTATGTTTCTCACTGGATTGAGGCATTCCCTTTCAGGAGAGCAACAGCCTTAACAGTTGGTAAATTGTTACTAGAAAAAAATAATTCCTAATTGGGGAATTCCCTCTGAGTTGCATAGTGACCAAGGGACTCATTTCACTGGCAAATAATAAAATCCACCTGTAATATTTGGCCCATACTACAGCATTTCCATTGTGCCTATCACCTCCAGTCTTCTGGACTGGTGGAACATACCAACAGTATAATCAAAACTCAACTAGCCAAAATTTCAGAACCCTTTAATCTCTCCTGGACAAAAGCTCTCCCTATAGCACTTCTCAACCTGAGATCTACTCCTTTTGGTAAAAATAAGCTTTTTCCTTATGAAAAAATCACTGGTCACCCTATGCATCTGGATGAAGGGGCGTATGAACCAACTTTACTAAAAGGAGACATTTTACATTATTGTCAAAAGCTTATTAACCAACTTAAAGAAATTGATAAATTGGTAACAGATTCATTTCACAGTGCGTTCACGGAAGACGAAGATCTCAAAGATCACGGCTTATAACCAGGAGACTTGGTGTATTGGAAAAGACACCAAATAAAAGACTCTCTCCAACCTCGTTGGAAAGGATGATCTATCATAATCATTCTTGTTTTCTGTTTTAAGATTTGCAATGGAAGCTAGTGCTTTATTAATATTGTTAGTTGTCTCATGTATTTGCTAATAAACTTTGAATGTCAGTGGAGACTCCACAAATCTCCTTCCCTCAGGCCAGCTGAGGTGCCTCTTTCATGATTTCTCCTGGTCTCTGTCAAAGCAGCAGTTAGAGGTGAGATATTGTGCAACTTAAGTCCATGCTCCAGTTCTGTTCACGGAGCAACATGCCTGAGATTTGCAAACTAAGATGACAGGAAAAGATACTAAACATCACCAATCATCAGAGAAACGCAAATTGAAATCACAATGAGCTATCACTTCACACCTGTCAAATGACTATTATCAATAAATTAACCAACAAGTGCTGGTGAGGAAGGGGGGTGGGGGTGGGGGAGAAGGAACCATTGTGCATTGTGTGGGAATGCAGACTGGTGCAGCCACTATGGAAAACAGTTTGAAGTTTCCTCAAATAATTTAAAATGGAACTGCCTTTGGACCCAGAAATCCTATTTCTGGAAATATATCTGAAGACCCCAAAACACTAATTCTAAGGAATATATGCGGGGTCCTGATGCGACGGGGGCCAGACATGGTGGGGATCTACCTTTTCCGTGTCCCACACGGAAAGAGAGATGAACGAACTGGTTCTAAGTGGAGGAGGCCAGAGATTGAGAAATAATAGAAATAAAGAGAGAAGACACAGAGATAGATTTCAGACTGGGAGCTGAGTGGGTCACCATACTGTCTGCTGGAGAGGCAGGAAGAAGAAGACAATGACCCCTCCCAGCGCATTTATTTTATACCCACAATACCAGGAAGTAACACCAACTTATTTGCATTCTTAAGTAGGCCCTACCATGCCTGAATTTACATATTTAGTCCTGCCCTTGCCGACTCCTGGGCTGATATGAAGGCCAAGCTGACAACATGTCCACCATCTTGGAAAACATGTTTCCAAGGGGTGATTCTGCCTGCGTCTTGAGTTCAGCTCACGATAATTAAGGAAAATTGCCCATGTGCCTTTCCAGGCGGCCCTCTACAAATACATATTGTATTGTGTTATATATATTGTGTTATTTACAATAGCCAAGATCTAGAAACAATCCAAATGCCCACCAGTAGATGAGTGGATAAAAAAAAAAAAGCCATGGTATATTGATATAACGAAATACTAGTTGGCCATAAGAAAAGAAGGAAATCTAACTCTTTGTATAATAACAGCATAGATAGACCTGGAGAGCATTATGCTAAGTGAAATAAGCCAATCAGAGAAAGACAAGTACCGTATGATTTTATTCATATGTGGAATCTAATTTACAAAACATCAGGTAAACAAACAAAATAGAAATGGACTCAGAGACCAGACTGGCAGATGTCAGAGAGGAGGATGGTTGTGGGTCTGGGTGTAAAAGGTGAAGGGATTAAACTAAAAAATAAAAAACACCTCATAGACACAAACAACAGGATGGTGATTACCAGAGGGAAAGGTGGGGTATGGAGATAGAAAAGGGTATATGGTGATGGAAGGGGACTCTTGATTTGGGGTGTTGAGCCCACAATACAATATAAAGATGATGTATTATAGAATTGTACACCTGAAAACTATATGATTATATTAATCACTGTCACCCTAATAAATTCAATTAAAAGAAAAAGAGGACAGGACAAGTGCAGTGTCTCCCCTTTGGCCATTTATCTGACTGTGCCCCTTGTGGTGACAAATGGGCATTGCAGGTTGTACCTTACCCATCATGGAAGGGGTAGCCCCACTTGTTATTATCCATGAGACATTTAGGACCACGTCTGACTGAGATGAGTGAGATGACAAATGAGTACCCAGCACCCAAGAATCCAATCCCAGCAAATATTATGGAGGAGAACATCTGAAAGAGAATAAGAGAGACAGGTTCTTAAGTTGGTCCACAGGTTATTCTCAGGACACCTAACCAGCCTGCTGTTGAGTACAGGTAGCTACCAGATGTTACAGGCAGATATCATATTCCAAAAGATGGGGCCTCTGGGGTCTCCTATAATGATTTTGGTGTCATGTAGCACACAGACTCTACTTATGAGAAAAATCAGAAGTCTAAAAATTTTCCTTGAGATCGAAATCATTAAGTCCAATCTCTCTTCCTTGTAGTAGCAGCCTTTAAAATATCTCAGATCTTTTGTATCTTAAATATGTTTTGCATTTAACATAACTCCTCCCCTTCCACTCTCTAAAAGTTTTCTCTTCTTTGAGTTAAACAAGCCCAACATTTAGCTCTTTCGAATGTTTTTATATGACAGAGATTACTAGCATCTTTTTTTTATTTACTCATAAAATAAAAATAGAATTATATACCTGTTAATACTAGAGGACCGGTGTATGAATTCATACTCCATGAGGTCCCTCGGCCTTGCCTGTGGGATTGGCTAAAACCAGCTCTCCAACATATCCTGAAGGGTCCCAGATTGTGAGAGGGTGCATGAGCCGGGCCATGGAGGGACCATAGTAGGGCTCCAGGTTGTGGCTGGTCCATCTCACTCAGTCCTGATTGGCTGGACCCCAGTAGCAAGCTCACCTACCAGTTGGAGCATCTGCCCCCTGGTGGTCAGTGCACATCAGAACAAGAAGTTGAGTGGCATATCATTAGCATATTATTCTTTGATTGGTTGAACGGATGACCAGACACTTAGCATATTAGGTTTTTATTATATAGGATGAAAGGCATAAAGAATCCTGAAGCCCATTCAGCTGTTTCTTACAGATAAAAAAAATGCAATTTTTTAGGCCCAGAGATGCAATTTCCATTCTAAACAGTAATAAAAGAGTAGTTGGAGACATTAATAATTTTGAAAATAGAGTCAGAAAATTATCACCTTTTTTGCTTTACTTTGGTGACATGAAGGTGTATTTCAAAGCGCATGATTTTAAAAGTCAGCAGACTCAGGGTCAAATCTTAGCTTTGCTACTGTTCTCTGTGATGACTATGCTTAATGTATTTCCTCAGAGTCTTTTCTAATTTTCTCATCTATAAAATGGGCACCATAACACTTACCTAAAGGTCTGTTGTAAAAATTAAATATCTGGAGGGAACAGTCATACTTCAAAAATCAATATATTATAGTAAAATTATTATATATTTTAATTTTAATTGTACAAACTTAAGCAGTTTATAAGAGACCAGGGTCATACTGCAAGATACCAAAGGATGGTTGAAGAAATCATCATTCTGTAGAAATGGGGTTTGAACTACTGCATGAAGATCAGTGAAGAGCAATTCACTACCTTGGAGCAATTCCCCTTCCCACTCCAAATCCTGGTTTCTTCACCATGCCTCCTTGGGAGGGGCCTCTCATTCCACTACCCATCCCACTTTGAGGGCCTCCAGGTCCCTGTAGGTGGTTATCTTGCTGGTCTCCTTCCCAGACAGCTCGACTGTTCTTCTCTTCCACATTCACATGGACCTCACCCCTGAACATGATGGGCCTGTTGCTAAGGACTTTTGGACAGGCTCAGAATCATCAAACACAATGAAACCAAAATTGGGTAATTTCCCACCACTGTTAATACACAGCTCCACCATATTCCCATAATTTTGAAATAAACCTTTAAGCTCTGACTTGTCGACCTTATGAGGCAGATTGCCAATGAAGAGTTGGTGACTGTTAGGGTATCTCACGATTCTTTGAGGTTCAACATGGCCTTGCACACCAGCCTCACAGATTGGTCTAGGTACCCTCTGGGGAGGAATATTTATCAGTTGTTCATGAACTCTTTGATCCCTAGAGGCCTCCGTGGTGGAATCTGAGATTCAGGCTTAGACTCTGGGCAAGGCTGTGAAGCTGATACTTTAACAACATGAAGTGGTATCCCAGTAACTGGAACAGCTCCACTGGGTGGAAGTTCTTACTGGTCATAGATGCTCAGGAAAATATCCTCAAGTCTTCCTGCACTGTCTGAGCGATGTCTGTAGTTCCGGAAAAGAACTCTTCTGAGCATCCTCAGGAGCAGTTTCCTCCAATACTGGTTCACACTTCTCCTTTTGGATTTCAGATACAGGTTCCTGCTCTGATTCTGGTTCAGGATCAGGCTCAGGTTCAGCAACAGGTTTCTTGAAATGTTCTTTCAAGTCATTGCTGCCAGTCTGATCATAGAAAGTTCCAAAACCATCAGGGACCACTTCTGGTGTTTGCTGTCTTTCTTTAGGTTCCTCTACTTCTTCCTCAGATTCCTCCTGAGGCTCAGTAGCAAAGCCAAAAAAAACAGATTCTATAAAGGGAGGATTTCTAACATCTTAAAAGTGGTCAAGCCAAAACCAGTTTGGCTCTGTGGATAGAGCTTCAGCCTGGGGACTGAAAGGTCCTGGGTTCGATTCCAGTCAAGGGCATGTACCTTGGTTGTGGGCACATCCCCAGTAGGGAGTGTGCAAGAGGCAACTGATCGATATTTCTCATTGATGTTTCTAACTATCTATCCCTCTCTCTTCCTCTCTGTAAAAAAATCAATAAAATATATTTTTTTAAAAAGAGTGCAAATAAGTTTAAAAAAAATAAAAGTGGTCAAAAGTGTTTCAAAGCCAGAATTACCACTACCTAAATGGTTTAATATTCTTATAATTATATTTTTGTAAAAATATTTCAATATTCATCCACTTCAAGCACCTCACTTTCTAATACAACTAGCTTCATTCCATCAGAGCCTTATATGCATAATCTCATTTAGTCCTTTTAGTGCACCTATGATGTGAGTAGTATAATGTACACTTTCCAGAGAAAGCTGAGACAAATAGAACTTAAGATCATTGGTTCAAGTCAAACAGTGAAGCTAAAGGAAGGGGCTGAGTCCCTGGATACTGCTTCCAAAGCCCATGCTCTTAATTTGGGACTTTCTCATGTTGCATGTCTAGAACGGGCTGAGCTAGATTATGAATCTGGGTCTCCTCCCTCCAAGTCTAATGTCCTGTAACTTCCACTATTCAAATACATGCATACCCATGACGCACTTCCACTAACACCAAATACTCCTATTCTCAAGTTGCCCCATGGATGGTATTATTTCTCTCACAGAACTAAAACAGCATATAAGAAAAGATCTTTTTGCTTACTTTATTTGAGTTTTATTATTCAGGAGTTAATAAACTACTGATTAAGAATCTTAGAGTATCTAAATTAGATGTAATTGAAAAGAAAGTATAAAATAATAAAGAGAAATTTCCTTTAAATTGAAGTCAGGAGGCTGGGGGGAGCTTTTAAGCCTTACTTTGACCATGGAACCATCAGTAAGAACTGTTTACAAGAGTTCTTCCAACCGCCTTTCTCCAGAAAAGAGGGTCCTCTCCTTTGTTTCTTAGGACTTGCACATGGTTCACCATTAAACTGCATGTCTTGAGTTGCAACTTTTTGTTGTTTCCAAGTAAACCCATTTTGCTGGAGAAATAGGCTATTTTCTGAATGTCAACAAAAGATCATATTTATAGTAAGGACTAGAGGCTCAGTGAATGAAGTTTGTGCATGGAGGAGGGTATCCATCAGCTTGGCCTGCATCCTCTCCAGTACGGACATTCCCCTCACAATCCGGGATCACTGGCTTGCTTACCTGCCTGCCTGCCTGGTTGCCCCTAACCACTCTGCCTGCCTGACTAATCACCCCTAACTGCTTGATTGGGGACAGGTCCAGCACAGCAAGGGGCTGTCTGCCTACCTAATCACCCCTAACCACTGGCCTGCCTACCTGATAATCCCTAACTGCTTGCTGGGGGGCGGGGCCAGCCCTGTGAGGGGCTGTCTGCCTACCTGATCACCTCTAACTGCTGGCCTGCTTATCTGATTGCCCCTAACCACTCTGCCTGCCTGCCTGCCTGCCTGATAATCCTTAACTGCTTGCTGGTGGGTGGGGCCAGCCCCACAAGAGGTCATGATGATTCTGGTCTAACAGTCATTATGGTTGTGACGCAGTTATGGTCTTTGGCCTTTTATTACACAGGATAGTTTGATATTCTGAGGAGACCTGGCTTCCAACCCACATCTCTTTGCCTGACAAATGTTTGTGAATACCTGTCTTTTTACAATGGTTGCTTCTTTGTCCAGATTCCCAGAACAAAAGGGAACCTGGCCCTGAGCAAGGCATGATGCAATGGCTCCTAGGGGTCGGGTGAGGTGGGACTGCTACTGAAGGGCTCAGCCCTGCAGTACAATACTTTTTGAAAAAGAATCAAGGAGTCTATATACTTAAGTGAACTCTATTTTGAAAAGTTGACAGCAGATGACAAACAAACAAAACAAAAACAAATGCTTCTTCTGGCCACTTGGAGGATAGTGGCCCCTGGCCCATGGCATATGTGGCTGGGCTTACAGATTGACTTGGCTGTTCCTTTGATGGGCATTGGCCTTGTGGACAGCTGGACAGTCATTTGAAAGTGTCATCCTCAACTCAAACCAAGGTCAGTCACAACCCGGTATGTGGATGAGGGAGTTTAGGGAGCTCAGATGGACAACTAGAATTGGGCAGAGCAAATGTTTCAGATCATATTTGACTCAACTGGACTTGTAAAAGCATGATTTATCAGCATTCCTTTTGGACTGCACTTAAATCTAATTAAAAACAAATTCTGTATGATACTTGAGTGTTATTTTACATTTCGCTAAGGTTATATATAAATTTAAAGACAAAAGATTAAAAAAAAACAAACCCTTGTTTTGAGATGAACCAAGATGGTGGCATAGGTAAACACCTGTACTTGCTGCCTTCCACAAACACATCAAAATTACAATTAAAATATAGAACAACTATCATCCAGAACCATGGGAAAGTTACAACTAGAGAGGTAAAGAAGGAAGTTCATTGAGACTGGTAAGAGGTGGGGAGGTGTGGAATGAGCTGGTCTGGCATTTGGGTGTG